TGATCTCCCAGATCCTTTCAAACCATCATGTTCCCAAATTCCAAGACAATGCACCTTGGTCTCTCCTACAGTAAATTGCTGTTGTTGGAATAGCAACAGCAACAGTAAATTGTTGTTGGAACACTATTGATGACACTATTGAACACTATTGAAAGCACATACAGTACATCTATAAAGAAATCAGTATACAGAGTAAATATTGATGTGTATTTTCCTTCTATGATTGCCTTACAAAGACCGAGCAGGAGAATAAAGGGGCAGTAGTGTGGTCTTGAATTGCAAGTCGTGTGTATTTTGGGAAGCAATATCATGCCAATCCAACAGAGAAAGAGCAAGAGATGGAGAGCGATGGAAAAAGCCATCCAGCATGACGAGGGGAGGCCAGGAACAGAGTGCTAAAATGTGTAATTGAGAGGAATCCTTCCTATAGTCAAAGAGGGTGTGGTGGCCAGATGTTGGATGGACTCCATTTTTTGAGTCTCTGGCAGCTGCTCAGGCAGAGAATTTATGGCCAACTTCAGGAAATGACTCAAGAAAGAAGCAAGGCTAGCAATGAAAGCTCAGGGTTTTAGAGAGCACTGGTAATGCCAGGCTTCAACGACTTTCTTTAGGGGTATTTGAAATTCTATTAATCCTGGGCTTTGTAAGAGCCATAGCTAATAAGGGATGGGAACTGGTGATGCAGTGAGAACAGCATGGCCCAGGGGCTATTTGACTTTGGGCAAGTTACTTAACCCTTCTCAGTGTCACTTTCTTCATCTGTAAACTGAGGATAATAAAAACACTTAGCTTGTGGTGAGTAATAAACAAGATAATGTACACAAATAGCATACAGTTAGTACTCACCAATTGCCAACACTGGTAATAATGATGACGCTGATGATAATGATGCCTTGTAGGAGGTAATGGAGGTTCTCAGTCTCATCTGTATATTATAAGCACCCAGGAGCTTTTAACAACTCACTGCCTAGGAGGTATCTCACCCATTAAATAGTTGCTGGAGGTGGAATCCAGATATTAGCCCTCTAATATCTCCCCAGTGGATTCCAACGTGCAGTCAACATAGAGAGCCACTAGTTAAGGGTAATGCCTCTGGAGAACAGGGATAACTTAGTGGAATCGAATACCCCTAAAAGCATTGTACATTAATTGGCAAATTTTCAGGAGATAATATTTTACTGTAATGAGGAATGATCCACAGGATTCATGGGTGTGGATCTAGCCATGCATACAACCTTTTAACAAATGTTTATTCAGTCCCTTTATTTTATTTCTCTCTGGCAAGTCCTGAGGTTTCACAGATGAACAAGAGAGGGAAACCATCATTGCGAAGTTAATAATTGAGTGTAAGAGCTAAGCAAAAAAATCAACCCCAAACTCTTTAACAGCAGCGGCTTCGATACTAGATGAGTCACAAATTGATCTCAACTATTTTTATCATGGCTAATTTCTTTGAAAAAGAAGTGTTAGAATCAATACATCAAAGATTTGTTCAATTTGGGTGGTGAGTATGTTGGTATTTTTCATATTATTTTTGGCACTTTTCTCTCGAAATAGTGCATCAAAGAAGACAATGATACTGTGTAAAGTGCTACAACAGGGGGAGATTACAATGCAGCGAGTACAGACAAGGGCACTACCCATCAGCTAGCCGGGGGTGAATGTGGGAGGGAAGGGAGAGGGTCATGGAAGCCTTTTAGGAAACCACTGACACTTCTTAAGTAGGAAAATGTCACAAGAGGATTTGCATTCTAGAAAAATGAATGGAGGAGAAAGCAAAGACATGGAGGCAAAGATATCATTAGAAGACTATTTGTTCCTGATGTGAACTTTGTAAGGTTTAGACTAAGGCACTTCCAGTGCATATAGGAAGGAGGAGCAGGGACCAGAGACATTCTGCAATGGACTGATAAAGCTCAGCTTACCAACTGAATGTACAAAGTAAGCAAGAGGAAAGCTGGAATGCCTCTTGAGTTCCTAGAGTGTGCTTTTGGTTAGACATAATTCTCGACACCATTAACTCAGCTAGGGCTTTCAGGATGGGTAACAGATTGGAAGTGAAGGAAAGAAGATGCTGAGTTCTTTTGGGAAACTGGTGCTCGTGTTATACCAAAGTGTCCACAGCAACAGAACACAAGGACTCAGGAGAGCGGTGCATGCATCCAGATGGAGATATGGAATCATCAGTGTATGGCTCATGTCTTGAGGTGAGGAAATAGATTCAGACAACAAGGTGGCTGGTACAGAGTTCTGAATACACTTACTTCACAATCATGAGAAGTGGAATTGGTGCAGGGAGGAGCCAATTCTGTCTTCATGTTGCATCTGTTTCTTTGATTTTAACCTTTGCTTTTCATTGCTTTCGTTATTATAATCATACATAATGGCCTGCCTAGAACCCTGCCCCTCTGCCTGACTGTTTAAACTAAAGTGCCTTTGTTCAGGGCACAGAAAGACAATCTGACTGCCCATCTGTGAATGGATGCAGAGAAGAAGAAATTAACACATCCCCTCCTATTTTGCAAGATTGTTGTTGTTCAGTCACTAAGTGGTGTCCAACTCTTTGTGACCCAATGAACTGTAGCACTGCAGGCTTCCCTGTCCTTCAGTATCCCCTGGTGTTTACACAAACTCATGGCTATTGAGTAAATGGCCTTTTTGCTTTACGTCCTCACTTCCTTTCCCTCAGTTCTATAAAAGAAACTGGCATCCAGACCCCGATAAGATGGTTATTTAGACACATTATTATGCCATCTTCTTGGTCAGCTGGCTCTCTGAATAAAGTCACATTCCTTGCCTCAACACTTCATCTCTTGGATTTATTGGCCTGTTGTGCAGTGGGAAGAATAAGCTTGGGCTTGATAACAGGGTGAGAAGGAAATCCTTCTAGAGAGGGCTGAGACGAAGCAAACATGAGGTAAAATCAGCAGAGTTCTGACCCAACCCAAGGGAAGGTATGAATATCAAAGAGAAAATCACCCAAAAGGTAAAAAAAGAAAAAAAAAGAGAGAAGTCAATAGGATATCCATGAAATTATCAGCAAATATAGCAATTCATTTGCAGGCCAATGGTGATTACAAAAGCTATTTCAGGACACAAGATTCTAGAAGTAAACTTGTAGCATGGAAGGTACTCATTAAACATTAGTTGGATTGAAATGCACTGGGTTCCTGCCATCATGGGATAGGCATTGAGCCTTGAGGCAGGGGCAGGAGATGCTAGAGGAGGAATGAGATCTTTTACTGGGCTTTTCAGTTTGGCTTAGGACCAGAGGTTCTGCTGATGAATCTAGAGAGGACCCTTCTTTTTTCCCAGCCTGCGTTGAGTTTGCTTTTGCCAACATTCTGCAGCTCTGATCCATTATCAGTAAGTGTCACCCCTTTGCCATATATAGAAACAGTAAGGGCAAAGAAAACGCACTGTGGGGGCGGATGACTCAGGATGTTTGGCAATAGGATAAATGAGCATTTTACCTTTTGTAGTGATACATGGAGGGCCCTACAGGCAAAGACTGCTGTCTGGTTCTCCTCATTGGCGTCCTCCTCCTACTAGGTTTATGTATAGCTCCAAGCATGCCACAGGTACCCACAACAAACCATTAATTAAAGCTAGCTTCTGGTCCAGGTTTGAAAAGACCGAAGTTGCCATCTGGAGCTGGATTTGTGTGTGTGTGAGAGAGAGAGAGACAGAGACAGAGCCAGAGAGTGTATGAGAGAGAGCGAGCTGCACAAGTAAGGGAAAAACCTTTGTTAGTTCTGTTCTCGATCACATCTCCAGAGTACAGTGCCTTGCCTCTACCACCAATAGATTGCCAGAAACAGTCTATTGGATGACAGTTGGGAGGAACTTGGGTGGAATTTTCTGGCACTGTGAATTTCCCAATTTCCCTGGTACTTTTTTTTCTCATTTGGGCCATGTGATTTGTATCATCTGGGATTCAACCAAGCACAGAACCAATACATTTATATATCGAGAGGTTTATTATGAGGAATCAGCTTATACTACTGTGGGAGCTGGCAGAGCAATTCCAAAATTTGTAGGGCATCAATCAAGAAGAGATCACAAGCGGCGTGAGGCTGTGTAGGCATGGCTGAAGCACTTGTCCACAGGAGACATTTCTTCTCCATGTCTCTGTCTCTCTCTCTCTCTGGGGAGTCTTGGCCTTGCTTTTAAGGGCTTCCAAGTGATTAAGCCAGGCCCACCTAGATTGTTTATTATTTAAGGCCAACCCATTAGTGACTTTAGTAGTAGTAATAGTGTTAGTCACTCAGTCATTTCCGATCCTTTGTGACCCCATGAACTGCAACCTGCCAGGCTCCTCTGTCCATAGGATTCTCTAGGCAAGAATACTGGAGTGGATTGCCATTCCCTTCTCCAGAGGCTCTTTCTGACCCAGGGATCGAACCCAGGTCTCCCGCATTGCGGGCAGATTCTTTACCATATGAGCTACAGGGAAGATCCATTAGTGACTTTAATGACATCTGCAAACCCCCTACTCAGTCACGTCTAGATTAGTGCCAGATGGAATAACAGGGACTTTAGCTTAGCCAAACTGACATCAAAAAAGCTAACATAACACATTTAAGAATGTGTTGGGAGATCCTGTGGATGAGTGAAGGAAATAGGTGTGTGTGTGTGCGTGTTTAGATGGAGCTGGGGGCATGGGGCGGATAGGGAGATTGGGGAGCCAGAAATGGTGGGATTTTTGCTCTCCTTTTAAAATCTGGGGTCCCAGGAATGTCTGTTTGGGGAAGGTCACTAGTGACTAACATATAGCCCCGGGAAGCCATGACCGTTGGTTCTATCATTTTGCCACACTGAGCAAGAGCCCAGTCATACGTCTTATGTAGGTGGCCGGCCGGCCCACCAGAAGCGCGCCCACTTTGCTACGTTTCTTGCCAAAAGCCCGCGCTCAGTTTTCCCCGAAGGTCCCCTCGACCCCGCCCCGCGCCAGGTGAATTCTCCTCAGGGCCGCCAGAGGGCGCGCGAGCTGAGGAAAAATGCCCCAAGGCTCCCAAGCTGCGACCCGGGCGACTCTGGGGCGGCGACCCCTGGCAGGAGTACCTGTCCTTCCGCGGGACCCCTACCAAGACTGCCACACTTACATACACCTTTTAGAGAGGGGCATACGAGACTCCTGGGAGGAAGGAGAGCGAATAGATTCACTTTCCTTTGTGAGGGACAGGAGGGTGGGCTGTCCGGCGGCGCCCGGACAAGGGAGGCGAGACCGGAGATGTCTCCTGCCTCACTTGTCAGACCAACCCGCGGGCAAAATGTCTCGGTGCTCCGGGCGTCGGAAGGCCCGCTGTCCCGAGAAGAAGGCACCTGGCGTCCGTTCCTGTCCCACGGGTGCGCACGGAGCCTCCTGGGCGCAGCCAGGTGGCCCCGCGCAGTGCACAGCCCGGCGCCTGCAGATGGAGAGCTGCAGCGGGATATGCGTGCCTCTCGCGGAACAGCAACCCCCACCAGCCGGGCAACCCCCACCAGCCGGGCAACCCCAGCTAAAAGTCAGGGCCCACGGCAAAGAGGCAGTTCTTTCCTGTAGTTTCTATCTTTAATGTTAGGATTAAAAAGGATGTTTGCCGCACCTGACTAATGCCACCCGTCTCTCCTTTCTCTTTCCCCCTTAAAAACACAGCCTTAATGAAATGCTTTTAAAAGCAATATAGATTTTCGAGGGAAAGAAAAATCGCTAGAGGACGTCAACCAAGGTTTTAATACAACAGCATTATTAAAAATAATAACGGGCCTGGCTTTTTGCGACTCTCAAAGGTGGATGGAGAACAAGGACAAACAGTAGATCAGACAGTTGAAAATTATAAAGAGTGGCTGCTGCACTCATAATTTGCACTCAAAGCACTCATAATTCGCACAATAGGGACATTTAAACACTCAGCGAGACTGAGCAATAAACACATTTCTCACTCAAACATAACCGAGGTCAGGGTGGGAAACCGCGGCCTTCTTTTCTTGTCTGATGTAGGCACCTTGTGGCCTCAGCTTATGTGTGGTTTTGGAAAAGTCTGACAGGAATGAGTGTCTGGGAGACTTCTCAGTTGTCAAGAAGCTTCTTATGTTTCCTAAAGAAACTCAACCTAGATTCATTAAGCCATGTCACAGAGCAAAGAGAATTAAATATTTTTTTAAGACTGCAACTAATCCTGAAACTGAAATATAGGGGAAAGAAACTACATATGAAAGGTCTGTGAAATTTTTACAGGAAATGTGCAAAGATGTTGTGTTTAAATATCCTCAGATGAGAAAAAAATTGCAATCCCCCCACCTGCCCCAAAACTCAAATGATTTTCAGTCGTCTACTCCCAGACCTTTCCTCATAGACTTAAATAAAATAATATCATTTGAGTCATTTAGGAAAATATTTATGTATCAGTGAAATCAATAAGATTCTTTGAACGATGCTGCTAATGTATATTCAAGTAAGGCCAAACCTTGTATTTATGCTTTTGTTGTTTTTTTGAAATTGTAGGCTCACGCTAAGAATTTTTCCCTCCCTTTATAAACATCAGCATAGTGCCATAATTTCCTTTATTTGCAATCAGTATATCCCATGGTTAACAAAGAACTTTTTCAAAGAAAAAATTGTGCCCTAATGAAATTCAGTACTTCTTTTAAAAAGAAAAAGAATCTTTTATATGCATTTTTATATGCACTAAATATATAAGCATAGTGTGTACCTGGTAAAGTTGATTTCTGCTGACGGGGTAACCCAGGTAAATCAACATAGAGTCCACAGCACATTATAGGGTGCACTTTATTGGGTTTTACCTTCAGGTAAAGACTTCTATTAAAAATGTACAAGTGCCTGCATACCTAGCCTGCCTTGTTTTCCACAGTGCTGTATACATAATCTCTTAAATTTTTTTTAAATCAAAGCTTGCTATATTGAATACATTTAATTGGAATCCAGTGGTTAAAAAATATAAAAATTTACTGCTGTAGAAAAGTTTTGATTAGTACTTTCCATTAGCAAGTGTTATTGAGTAAACCCTCTAACAGTCTATTTGCATTCAGACAAGAACTAACTTAGCAAAACAGGTGATGCTTTCAACTGTACAAATATATTATTTCCCATAAATACTCTTAATGAAAGAGGTGGTCTGTTTCAGAGGAAGTAACTGCAAGGAAGACTTTTAAATAATAATGAAAAAATCGTTCCCAACCCTGATAAGTACAGGCATGAATGCTTGAAGGGTGAATTATTAGGTGTGGAAAGGCAGAGTCTAGAAACCTCTCCCACATACATTTTAAAGTAAGCTGCCCTAAAGCGTGGCAGAAAGCCTCTGGAAAGCACGGCCTTTCTCTTACATCAGAATCTCACCCTTTCTTCCCCCATCCAAAAAAAATGAACTCAAATACAAAGAAATGGTGTTCTACCCTAAGGAAACGTTTGGGGACAATGAGTGTTAATGCAGGAATTTCTTGACTTGATGATGCTAATTTTCTTTTAATTAAAAAAAAAAAAAAGAATATATACCTTTAAACAAAATTAGAATGTAATATAAGTTCAATTTTACAGAATTTTCTGATAAATACAAATTGATCAGAATTTGGGGATTAATCTTTCTCTAACTGAACTGAACTGAATGTTTAGTTAGCAATTTGGACTTTATTTAACAACAAAAATAGAAGATTTATGTTGGAAAGGGCATTTTTGGTCCCACTATCCCATTTATGATTCTTCAAGAAGGACTGCATTCCTCTTCAATTGTTTGTCTAAATCTAGAATCAAGATGGGAGTAGTTACCCCACTGGATGTTTAGTGTTTCACAGAAGATGGAAGACCTCTGACTTCACATAATGAAGTCTGGAAAAGCCCCACTGCTTCAGCCAGAGGTCTGAATCTAGATTTTTCTGGTACTTCATTTCAGACTATTCTTCAGAGTTAAGTGTGTGGATATCTTCAATTTTAAAAAATTTTTCCTGTTTGTTACGTTTTGCTAATTTCCTAGCCACTGTAATGCTGTATGTGTGTATGTGAGTGTACGGGTGAAGGCAAAGGCGGCAGGCAAGACAGCGACGCTGGGGGTAAGGAAGAAGACGCACTGGAGAGGCGGAAGCCTCTGCTTTGGGCTGTTAAATGTTCTTTTCCAGTATCTTATTCACAATGAATTTAAAGAAGGATATTCTTTAGGGAAGTAAATCTCTCCTTTCTTTTTCAACATTAGTCACAGTAAATAGAAGACTATTCTGTTTCATTATTGTTCAGATGTAATGTTTCTATTCTATGTCTTATTCTGTGTGCCTCACACATACACACACAACTTTTCTTTCTCTTTGAATATCATCACTGTTGGCTAACAATGAAATTGTGAATAACATCTCACTTTTTGTTGCATCCCAATATTCTTTATTTGCAAATTTGAAATGAGTGTAATTCAATGACAGCAGCAAACAATAGCACTTACAATGCTGTGCACGATAAGAATACTTGGCAGGAAAATGACATTTCAAATTAGAATTATTTGATTTGATCGGGATAAAAAGAAAATGGTAATGTATTCTAATCAAATAGTAAGCAGTTAAAAGAAGCAAAATATGGAAAAGAATCTGAATTTTCAGGTGAAATGTATTTGACTACTATTCATTTGATGTTTTTCTACTAGTTTAAATTCTGAAGTTCAAAGCCTGAAGAGAATGCAGTTGTATTACTTTTTGGTATTAAAGAAAAACAAACACTTTTTTTGCAGTGTTACATCCAAACGAGTTTGACAAAATGGCTATTCATAACTTCCATTTATAAGGAACAGCCTTATTTGCTTGTAAGGAATGTACTGTGAGTACATTACATTACTGCAGTATGTAATATAATAATAAAACCCTTTTGTTGAGCACCTACAATGTCTTGAACTGCACAGAATGGGCTTACTTAAAAATTAAGAAGGATGTGGTTTGTCTCCTGAAAGACACAATCCAAGTGGCTCTTTTAAGAAAGTTAAAGAATTACTTGTTGTTTAATGTCTTTCTTAATAAATAACTTTCAAAAGATAACTTCCACTCAGTTTCAAAAGACTTTTTACAAATTCTGAATCTGTAGGATCTAAATTAATAAAATGTTTTATAATAGTTCCAAAAACTGTTTAGGTTGAAAATTTTAAAATACCCTGGAGATGTGGTCTGTTCACTGCTTCTTGCCAGCCTTATCTCTTGAATCTTTCTTTATCACCTATAGATTTGTCTGCCCTGCCTTCCCCTGTAAAAGTGTCTGAGGGCAGACACCTTCCTAGCCAGTCCAGACTCTTCAGTGTTGAATGACAGAATAAGTTAACACAGTTTAGAAATGTGTTAAGAATCCACGTTTTAAGGAAACATTTTAATTGAAAATATAATTTTTACTACAAAGTAATAGATATTCTGAGTTAAAATAAAGTCACACCATAAATAAAAGTGTAAAGAAGAGAGTAAATAACCCTGATCATTCCACCCAAAACTCAGGAATAAGAGCTGCTCCCTAGACATTTAACACTATTTTTAAAAAAAATTTTTTAACACTATTTTGACATATGTTTGTCCAGACATTTTTCTGTGGCTCTACACATCCCTTTAAACCATCAAAATATGCATTATGTTATACAGTCTAATCTATGTTTTCACTTAACAATGTATCATGAGCATTCTTTGCTATGGACAAAAACAGAAATCATTGCCATTTTAAAAGGCTTTTGAGCATTACACCATATAAATATATTAAAAGGAATTCAATGAACTTCTCATAATTAACCATTTATGTTGTTTTCAGGTCTTTTTTGGTATGAAATACAATTTTAAAACAGTGACTTTGTGTTTCATCTCTCCCCAGAAAGGACAGTTTGAAAAACCCCATGTGAACAATCAAGAGGCTTTTTGTAGCCACATCATTATTCTGTTTAGGTTCCTAGATTATTCCAGGAATAATCTTCCTAGAAGATTATTATCTTCTCCTGAAGGTCTATAGTTCTTAAGTAAATTCAATTTTTTTTAATATTTGGAGTGTTGAGAAAGGAAATCATGGAATGCATGGGTTCTGCTAGCCTTTCTCGTTAGTCTGGGAATCAATCTGCCTGTACAGAGAGCAGCACACTCAGCAAACTTTCCCCAAAGGATCAGAAAATACTGACAATTTAAGATTCCAGTGAAACCACATAGTGATATAAGAAAAAAATCTATTTCTAAAATCAATTTTCTTGTTATCCAGGCAGCACTGATGAAGTTTAAGGAAAGTTAAAAAAAAAAACAAACCAACCTGTTTTTTATTTAGAAATGATACATGATGGATATAAGGGACTTTTTGAAAGAGCTGATGTTTTGTAAATGTCCAAGTCACACAATGATTGCTTAAAAAAGTCAAGAAAGCTAAAAGAAAACTGGATGACTAGAATATTTCACTAACTGCCTTTATTTTTTATCTCATCCCACAGAGCTGTGGAGGAATAACAGAGCTGACTTCTTCCGCTCTCCCCTTTTTGCTCATTTCCGGTCACAGGAGATGTGAGTTTTCAGTGGTGGTCTCTGTGGCCATTCACCTATGGTTGTTTGATCAGAAGATTGACCTTATCTACCA